ATTCAGCTGAACTGTGCACATTTATTTTGTGCACTTGTTTAAGTCATGTGATAAACGCATGTCCCTGCTGGAGCCTTTGGGCTATGACTAATTTCACGGGCAAAGCAGACAAAATTACAATTTACGTATCGTCTTTTGTTTTGTTTTTTTTTACAAATAAAGCTACATATTATGAGAAGGATACATTCTACGACCTATCCTGCATTCATCATGGTGAGATTAGGTTCCTTCAATCTAAAGAAAAAACAATAATCGAAAAAGAATCGAAAACAACAGTGAAGAATCGATTTCAGAACCAGGAATTGGAATCGGACTCGATTCCAAAAGTTTCGGAATCGAACAGCCCTAGGTGTGTTTCAGGATATTCTGCCCATTAAGCCGTCAAACTGACATCATCAGAGAAGGACTGCCATTCCAGAGCAGAAGCAAATGATCAGATTTTGATTAAAGATTACCAAGACAAACACATTTTTTCAGCGGATTAACTTGCACGGATTAATTGTTCACATCAAGACTAGCAATGTGCGCTAGTAAAGTAAATAAAGTCCATTTTGATTTCATGCCGACTTTAAATCTGGTATGTTTTAACTGCTTTCTTTTTATTTTACACAGGGAATCAGCAAAACTTTAAATTCAGAGCAACATACAATACAATTTGGTTTAGAAGCTGCAACTTTAGACCTGTGAATATGACTTTTCCAAGCAAGCACAAGATTTTAACATCATTATTAAGAGCAGAACCAGTGTTACAAACCAGAAACAGGACCATTTCTTCAGTACTATCAGTGAGGTAATAATACAACCAGGATCAACTGTTCAGTCTTACTTGTGAAAAGTAATTCCCCGGTATCTGGTTCGGATTGTGCGGCGGTTTTTACAGCCCCAAGCAGCACAGGAGTCAGGCATATTTTCTCCAGACTAGTCTTCTGACAAAGAGCTGCCCGGACCAATATGGCGGTGACGCTGACCCACGATGATCGGCGCTTTAAAGGGGTCCTATTATGCTTTTTCACTTTTTTAATTTTAGTCAGTGTGTAGTGTGTATGTTTGGGCATAAAAAAGATCTAGAAAGTTACAAATCTCAAGTCCACTCCAAAGGGAGATATTTCGTTTTTAAAAAAATCCCTTTTCAAGAACTACAACGAACGGCTCGTTTGGACTACAGCGTTGTTTTCCGGGCTTTGTGATGTCACAAAGCGGCTCATTAGAATATCATTACAAAGAATTCCCGCCTACAGAAATTCGAACGGTTGGGCGAGGTTGTGGTTAGAACGCTTGGTTGAGTGAGCGCATCAGACGAGACGACGAAGAAGAAGAGCTGCTGCAGAGTTTACGTTTTGACTAGCAGATTCAACTAATTTGCGGTGTTTCGAGCTCTTCGAAACTGAATCATTTTGCGGAGCAATGGGTTCAATTCATGGTTCAATTGAATCAAAGCTTCGTTTTCCCATCTATTCGGCAAATATTTTTGAGAAATATTAATTCAAAGCTAACATAAAAACAAAACAAATACATAATAACAATAATAATAAGAAGAAACCACTGCCATAGTACAATATAATAACATTAATAAAATAATATTACACCGGAAGTTTGGGACGGAGTCTCCACTGCAGAAGTTTGTTAATTTAACAATGCTTCTTGCATAAAGTTTAAGCATATGAGGAATATGAAGTTATAAAATATGCTATATAAAGCATTCGCTAATGTGACCACATTTAATTGAGCATAAGCCACTTATTTCTTACTGACTCCAAACTTTTGAATGGTAGTGTAAATAACATACAATAAAGTGCTATGAAAAGAACATGTTAAGTTACAGACAGTTGGTTTGTTTTCAGTGCAGTATATGCTGGATTTGATAATTGTAAATTTAGAAATAATTGTGGGAATATGTTAAATATGGTGAGACGTGTGTTATTTGTCTTTGCTAATATTCATGTGTTACTGTAGTGTCTTAAATTTGACTGCAGTAATATGACATCACTTACAAAAGCACAGTTCATATTCAAGTCATATCAAGTCCCTTTCTTTGTGATTCAGTGCAATTCAAAGTGAAACCACACACTTGATCTGAATGCATTTGGGCATTCAGAATGTGCTTTTCTACCGCCATTTACAGTGGAGTATTGTAAATAAATATATATATATATATATATATATATATATATATATATATATATATATATATTATGTGTGTGTGTGTGTGTATATATATATATATATATATATATATATATAAGTATATCAGGACAGTTTCTTATACTAAAACATAAAAACAATGTTGTTCCTTGAAATAACATATAAAAAAAAAACATTTAAAAAAAACATTTTCAGTTACTATATAGACATACCACATTTGTATATATATTAGGGCTGGTAATTTAACGCGTTAATTAGATTAATTACGGTGAAAAATAACGCGTTAAAAATATTAACGCATTTAATGCACTTGCCCCGTCCCAGACCTATGTGGGTCATCTGACATTTCAGTTTATTGATGACAATTATGAGGCAGGGCAACAACTCACTGCGTGATGGAGCCTAGAGAACGTAGTTGGAATGTCCCTAAAATTCAAGATATGGGGCAAAAATGCTCCTGCTTGAGTTTTTGTCTCGTATTTACATCATATAGTTAAGCAATATCACACAAGCAATAGGCTAAGTGCAATATCACACGAGTGCAAATGTGATAGGCCTTCTGATCTTATAGGCTACAACAGTTCAGTAAGAAAGAAGTTAAAGGATTAGTTCACCCAAAAATGAAAATTAGCCCATGAATTACTCACCCTCAAGTCATCCTAGGTGTATATGACTTTCTTCTTTCAGACGAATCCAGTCGGAGTTATATAAAAAAATTGTCTTTGATCTTTCAAGCTGTTTAATGCCACTCAGCGGGTGTTGCAGGCATCCGTCCAAAAGCAGTTAAAAAAAATGCGCCCATCCATTTAAAAAAAGTGTGTCTCACACGGCTCCGGGGGGTGAACAAAGGCCTTCTGTAGCGAATCGATGTGTTTTTGTAAGAAAAATATCCATATTCAAAACTTAATCACTTTAATGTAGCTTGCGCTCACTGTTGTACACTGGAAGCAGTTCCGGGGGAATGACGTATGAGTTCAGCCCTGCGCATGCGCCGGTGAGTTTCGTGAAAACCAACGTTTGTTAACAGGAGCAAAGGAAGCAAAGTTTCCTTACTTTAGCAAAGGAAAACCAGTCTCCTCTTGGCTTATATCGAAATCCTCTGACATTCTTCTTTACAAATCCTCGTTTTGTACTTCTAATTAGTGACCTTTGTTTTGATCTTTCCCCTGCGCTTCCGTGTGCGTCACTTCTGAGCGGCGCATGCGCAAAGCTGACCTTATACGTCAACTGCTTCCAGTGTACAACAGTGAGCGCAAGCTACATTAAAGTGATGATTACGTTTTGAATATGGATATTTTTCTCACAAAAACGCATCGATTTGCTACAGAAGGCCTTTGTTCAACCCCCGGAGCTGTGTGAGACACTTTTTTTTTTAAATGAATGGGCACATTTTATTTAACTGCTTTTGGACGGATGCATGCAACACCCGCTGAGTGGCATTAAACAGCTTGAAAGATCAAAGACCATTTTTAATATAACTCAGACTGGATTCGTCTGAAAGAAGAAAGTCATATACACCTAGGATGACTTGAGGGTGAGTAATTCACGGGCTAATTTTCATTTTCTTGTTTTGCTCAATTTTGCCAAAGAAAATATAAAGACAAAGCAGAACTGTTCGTCTCCGAGCAACACACAGCGGCATTTAATTTCTTAATGCACGTTTTGAACGAATTGGGTGAATCATTTGGCACATTGGATTTGAAGCAGTGCTGGACAGACCGATCGGTGTATGACAAAGTACCGCGAGAGAGATTCAAAAGCATAAGGAGTCGTCTGCTCTTTATAGCTCTTGCGATACTTTGATGTCACACACCGATCGGTCTGATGGTGATGATCCGCTTCAAGTCAAACAAGTCTAATTATTCAATGGACCATTCATAAAGAACCATTTACTTCACTCCTGAATGAATCAGCCATTTGCACGAATCAAATGAATAAATGACTCGATGACTTAATCATTAAGATATTTACCACCACCTACTGGCAGTTTTAGTTTATTATTTAGAATATAATTTCATTAAAGAAATAATTTCATATTTCCATAGTAATAATAATAAAATGAATAAAATAAATTATTAAAGGTATATTTCACCCACCTAAAAATGACAGTTGTGTCATCGTTTACTCACCCTCATGGTCCAAAAGAGTATATGTAATACATTTTTTAAATGTCTGTTTGATGCTTTACACAGCAATGACTTTAAATGATCTTTTGTGAGTAATTTCCAATAATGTGTAAAAAAAAAAAGTTTATGCTTTAGTGTTGTTAATACGTTGTTACATTTTTACTTCATATTCTTAGGGCTGGGTTGAAAATATTGATTACCCGGTTTCAATATTAATTTTAACAAAACAATATAGATTCTTAAATTCCAAGAACAGTTTTGTATTCTTTGCTGTTTCCAATTGATGCGTGACTAAAGCTTTACCAAACATTATTTGTAGCTTGCCTCCCAAAACATGTTTTTATGACAGCGACCATATACGTTTATATTTCAGCAATGAATTTCAACAGTGAATTGGAGCGGAAACATAATTATCAGAAATTTTAAATTAGCAATTTAAATCTAAACTGTCAGTCTTTTGTTTGAGTGTTGTAATAATATCTGAAAATAATAGCAATTGAATTTGGGCTTTCTTGTCAATTTTAATCATTAATGTTATAGTAGTGTACTATGTAGTTTGCATAATGTAGATTTTTTTTTTACCTGAACATATTTCTTACCCGAAACATTTCTGATCATCATCTGAATCAAAATGAATCAAGGGCTTGTGATTCCCGGAATCAAATCAAATAGTGAAATCTGTGTCAATAACCAGCCCTATGCTTAACTTAAAATGTTTTCTACTTGTGTGTTTTAGGCAAGGAGATCACCCTTCTAATGCAGACCTTCAACACATTGAGCACTCCAGAGGAGAAGCTGGGTGGTCTCTGTAAGAAGTATGCTGAGCTGGTAAGACATAATGATGATCAAAAGATGTCAACTTCTCCGATCATGTGTTGTAAGAGAAAATATCACTCTTATAGAGAGAGAGAGTCGAAAATGGCCATGGAAAAAAAAATCTGCCTCTTTACCACTGTATTACCCCTGTACCACTAGGGCTGTGTATCACCAGCAAAGTCACGATATAATACGTATCACGATACAGATGTCACGATACGATACATGACTGCACTGAATTTCACCTCAGCAGAATATAGTAAAACAGCTGTTTATTAAATACTGCATACTATAGTGCCATTTCTAACTATTGGCAGAGCAGGCAGTTGACCTCTGCATTATGTAGGGCCTCCATAACTGTACCACAGTACAATACAGGTAATGGCATATGTTTCGTGTTTACATTGTGCACTCCTCACCAGGTACAATATTCTGATTGTTTGCATCTTGTTTTTAAGCCCATAAATAATAATGTACTCGATCTAATAAATTTATATCGTAATGTACTCATTCTAATATATTAACAAAATCATATTTACATTGCTGGTAGGTTATCATTGTACAAATTAACACACTCTCTATGATTACATAAAAATAAAAATTAGAAGAGTTCTAAACTAACGTGCGGTCTTCACTGTATCTAACTCGAACACACACATGCTCAGTCACTCACACCGATCACGTTGCGGCCTCACTCAGACATTCAGGAACAAACTTTTTAGCGCTGCCCCGCAATTTTATCAACTAAATAGCTTAATCGCTCAAGAGCTACATTATCTTTCTCAACAAGGAGCTGGTAACATCATTGTTTTTCTAAAGGAATTAACGCCACAGCTTCACTGTTAATAGAGAAACGCGGCAAAACGGTGGTAATTCATACATACACCGCCTCTCTCTCTCTCTCTCTCTCTCTCTCTCTCTC